GCAGGGTCTGCTGGCTGGGTGCTGGCAGGCTTGCACCTGGCACGGGCACCGTAGCCAGACCATGCCCCTTTAAGGGCTCCGGGGCCGGGAGGGGGGCAGACGAGTTTCCCTGGTGGTGCCCAGAGTGGCCACCAGGGCAAGCTGGGGAGGGCTAGCCTCCCACTAGTTCGAATTAAGTGGTTACACAGCCCTTAATTCGAACTACTTAATTCGAACTAGGCGTTAGTCCTCGTACAATGAGGTTTACCTAGTTCGAATTAAGCGCTCCGCTAGTTTGAATTAAGTTCGAACTAGTGGTTTGTATGTGTAGCGCCTATCAAAGTTAATTCGAACTAACGGCTGTTAGTTCGAATTAACTTTGTAGTGGAGACATACCCTCTGAAATCAGTGAAAGTTAAATACAGGTTGATCCTCTCCAGTCCAGAACACTCTGGTCCGGAAACATCTGTGGTCCGGCGTGATTTGAGTTAGCTAGGTGTCCACTTTTCATGGGTGTGTCCAAGTCTCCCTCAGTCCCATAAAGTTTGTTTACAACCACTAGCCCTGGCTGTCAGCGTTCTGTGCTGTTCCTTAGCTCGAATTTACCCCTCATTGTCTTCTAAGAGCCCAGTCAGCAGTGGAAGTGTTGGTAATGCTGCTAGACAATATTGACCTCCCTGGGTCTGGAAGATTCTCTGGTTCGCAACCAGTCAGGTCCAACCTGTACCTACCGACCTTTGTATGGGCCTGACTTGCTTCAGTAGGAATGGGAAGTAATTCACTATGTGTAGACATTGATCTGTTTATCTGCTCTTTCGTCACTTCCCTTATTACCTGGTATGCAGACATTTAGGCTTTGTCTATACTGTGGACTTCACAGCGGTACCACTGCAGCTGCACTGCTATGAGGTCTCCTGTGTAGCCGCTCTCTGCTGGCAGAGAGAGCTCTCTCGCCAATATAATTACATCAACCCCAATGAGCAGCACTGTCCACACCAGCCTTTTTATCAGTGAAATTTATGTCAGGCAGGCGTCGTGGTTTTTTCATCCCCATGACTGACAAAAGTTTGGACAACAAAAGAGCTAGTGCAGACAAACCAAGCTTGGTTTCTGGATCAGTTCCCTCAAGATTCTGGTCTCTTTTCCCAAAGCATTCTCTTGGACTTGTCACTTTCCACCATCCCTGCCTGATGTCAGTGTATACATTGAGCTACTGTGTTAGGTCAGAGTGAGCAGCCTCTAGCACCGCTAGCTGTTAATACTGGGGATTCATTGTGCTCACAGTTGATAAGACAGGAAACAGTATCAGGAAGTCGGGCTTCCAAAGAGCACCCTAGAGATAAGCTTGTGTAGATATGGGAAACAAATAGCTGCCAGAATAAGCAGACTCTTGTGAGCATTTTTTTTTTTTTGCACTTGGAAGAATGTTTCCCAAGTAATGAGAACCAGAGACCCCCATGTGCGCCAATCAACAAAGGAGATTTACAGGAAGGCAGCTGAGGCTGACAGGCATTTATTATTCTTGTGCAGGTTATTTTCCTAGCCCAAATGTGTTCTTTATTGTTTTGGTGCCCCTGTACTGTTGTTATCGTTAAGGTTTGTTGCTTTTGTCTTACAAATGCCACTTTTCAGAGCTTTATAAAACAGCTGCAAGAGTTTCATTTCAGCATGGCCATGATTTTCCTTTTCTTTTATTGTAGAGCCATTACCATATCAATGATGTGGTGGGCTAATATGTGATCCTACCTGACGGGGATGGGGGGAAGGCTTTGGGCTCCTGTCATGACATAGTCCTCATGGGATGTTCTCCTTTCCTCAGAGCTGCCCTAATCTGCACCCCTGAATCTGGGAGGCACAGCCCCCAAGTATATCCACCAGTGCAGGGATTAAATGGGAGGTCAATGGGACCTTTGCTGCCGAAGCA